TTTTTGTGTTTTTTGTCTCCCCCCCCCCCCCCCCCCCCACACACACACACACACAAAATAAGTCCTTGGAAACATTATTGAAAATTAAGTTAATGGATTCTGCTTTTTATTAAAGATGTTTTTGTTGTTTTTAACGAGATGCGTTTAAACTAGGCCAAGTGTCTGTCTATATATGCTAAAACAATTTGTGTGAATTTCCAGTAGAGGTCTTTAAAAGAACTCCTGTGAAATTACAGCTGTTGTTTGAGTTTTTACATGGGTTTAAATGTACTCCACTTCATTTTTAAAATTTACAATATGTAGCCTATAAAATCAAAATATATTTTGAGTTCGTTTTTTAACAGGAAAATATGATCAACAAGTCCTATTTAAAACAAGTTTGAAATGCTTCAGAGAATAGTTTAGCTTATCACATTAAATAATGTTTTAAGAGTGAAAGTCGGCACACTTTAAAAATTAAAAGAATACTATAAAATTCTGTTTACAATGTTTATCAGAAGAATAAGTAGTGAAACATAAGTCTCAAATTACTATATAAAATCCAACCTATAGCACTTGCTGTAAAATGTAAATCCCAGTGGAAGTGCAGTTTTGATAGTGTATCGAATGCAAATGGCTCGCAAATATAAAAAAATTCTGCAAATTAGAAGGCAGAGCAGAATTGAAATGATTTAAAATGTGCAAGCAAGTACTGAATTTTTACACTGCATTTTACTGCAGTATTTACACTTTTTTAGATTGTCAAATAAGATTCGATTTTTAAGCTACCATTTGGATCAGACGTTGTTCCTGATTGCAATATATTTCCACCCCTCTGAATTTTTTTTCAATAGGTGCACTAGGCCTTCCAATGAGGGGAATGAGCAACAATACCCCTCAGTTAAATCGCAGCTTATCACAAGGCACTCAGTTACCGAGCCACGTAACACCAACAACAGGGGTACCAACAATGTCACTTCATACGCCTCCATCTCCAAGCAGGTATTTATTGGTAGCTGATATTTCTGCAATTGTGTTTGTGCAGAGCAGTTTTTAAGTGTGGTGCGTGTTTCACCTAAACTAGCTTACATTCTAATTTAATTTAAAAAAGGAAATACTTAATTTTGTTGAACGCTGCCTGTATTTGGGAGGATATTTGCAGTACAGTACTTGTCCATGTGTAAAGATAGTGTTCACTGGCAGATTTTGCTACAGAATGCAAGAATGCTGTAGTAAAATGCATGGGTAAAAATATACGCATGTAATAAACTATTCCAGCAATAAAGATGGTAGGACAAAAGTATTGCTACTACAAGCTTGATATATTAAGAAACTTAAACATTTCTAACCCATTAAGACTTTTTTTTTAATTTCACTTTAAATATTTTTGGTGTTCTATACCAAGTCTGACTAAGGATTTGCTTAGTATATGATGGGTTATGTGGAATTTCTCAGGAACCCTTAAATAATATTCTGCTGCTTGAGAATTATCTAAATGTTGTGCTGTATTGAAATTTACCACAAATCTAGCTTGTCATAGATTAGAAAATCTTCTTAAATTGGAAAATGAATCTGAAGCAAATAATGAAACATTAGAAATTAATCTTTTTTGGATGCTTTGTCTTTTTCAGGGGTATATTGCCTATGAATCCTAGGAATATGATGAACCACTCCCAGGTTGGTCAGGGCATTGGAATTCCCAGCAGAACAAACAGCATGAGCAGTTCAGGGTTAGGCAGCCCCAACAGAAGCTCTCCTAGCATAATATGTATGCCAAAGCAACAACCCTCTCGACAACCTTTTACTGTGAACAGGTAAGACTTGGTTAGAATGCATGCAGCTATAGATATATTTAACAGTAGTCCTGAAATTAAAATATAGTTTGAAATGTCCAGCTCTTGCTGCTGAGAAGCCAAGAGCATGTCTGCATTGTCTCTTTGCACTATCTCATATTGCTGGTGGGTGAGGGCTATGTTTTGAACTTGCTCTTGTTTTGTTCCTGTCCATATCCTGGACAGAAGCCACTGTATGCCACAATGGGTAGCCACTGTAGAACAGTACTGAGTCTGCACACACCACTTCTCTTGGGTATGTGTTTACTGGTACGTGCTCAGAGGGCCTGGGAACTACTCATTGTCATGGTGGCGGGGTCTGTCACAGTGGAGAGGTGTACACATGTTTTGAAATGTGCACAGGTTTTTTGGGTCCTCTAGGCTAAAGTGGAAAGTGCAAATAAGGCAAAACTTAATTTTAAAAATTGTTCATTGGGATTTGGCTCAGCAAACTCTGATACGCTGAGAGTCCTGCATCTTCATGCTGCAGCTCTGGAGCCATTTGGAGAACAGACATTTTTGCCCCCCAGTATTTCTCACCTATGTAAGACTATGTTGGTGTGGTAATCTCAACAGCTTTGTTCTTTTCCTGACTTTGTAGCACAGGCCTTGAAATTATTGATTGCTTATGTTGCCTTGTATTGGGTTTACAAAAATGAATTAGTGTAAGCTTATTGACTGTTTACATAAACAGTTTTAAAAGAACCATTGCAACTGATTTACCATGTGTCATTGTATCCCAGTTCTAACTTTTCCTTTGTTTAGATCTCTTCTAAAGGCTCATTTCTGTACTGCCTACAGGTTTTTAAATTTGTCAGTCAAATGGCTTCTCCAACCCAATCCAGTACCATATGAAAATAGTGGGAGAGAGATAGAACAATGGGAATAATTTCTTTTGTATCTGAGGATATTTTTACATGTATTCCTGGGGTGGGAGGGGCAGCGCTTTAATTAGGTTGGCTCCAAGAGCTGCCCTAATTTAAGCACCTCACCGTCTCATGTATCAGCGTTCCTGTGCTTCAAAATGGTGGTGGGGTGCTTGAACTAAAGGTCATTCAGCGAGCTTTAGTTCAAGTGCCTCCGCTGCTATCTTGAAGTGCAGGGACATTGATACGCAAGATGCAGAGGCTGGCTGGAGCGCAGTAATTAAGGCTCCAGCAGACTTGATAAATCAAGTATCCAGTATCATATGAAGATAAATCAAGTCTGCTCTGGTGTGCTGTAATACCAGTGCATTGGAGCAGCCTCTGTGCTTGTGTACAGGCACCCTGTGATTTTAATGTGTGGAGACCCTATCCCCTTTCCATTCCTCCTGGCTGAGGTAGTTGTCTGTCCTTGCCTTCTTTATGCAAGAGGTCTCATTGTATCCTCTATGCTCTGTGAACTGTTTAATCCCATTGTCTATTATGTACATCAGCAGTTAATGCTGATGTGGTGTTGTTTGTTTTGTTTTTTTAGCTTTTAACTTGGAAGTTTCATAAGCAAGCATTTGCATCTATGTAGGTGTGCTACAATAGAAAGGCTAAGGGAAGCAGTATGCTTTCAAATGAGAAGAAAGATTTTGATCTTGCAAATGTAGACATTGAGTACTTGTTCAAGTAAACACTAACTTTTGGCAGTAATTCAGAGATGAGGCTATCTTAGTCTGGAGTACCTTTTGGGCTATTTGTCTCTTTTATTGATTCTATGTTACTGTATGCATGCTTTATTCTAGTTAGTTGAGGAGGAAGCTCCACTGGAACTCGGGTTGCTGTTTTCATTGAATTAATGTGGGGTGTTTTTCAACTGATTTTAAGGGCAGCTATTTATGCATACATTAGTGGCATTTGCCAAACAGTTAAACACCAAGTTTGCCAATATTTCAGTACTGTTATACAAAAGTTAAACCTTTTATGAAAATGTTATAGTTGCCTTTGACAGTTATTTAATTGATAATCACTTGAAGTAGTCTAGACTTTGGGTAAATCTGATATCTTTTATTAGACCAACTCAAGTAGAATTGGAAAAATTCTTCTTAGCAAGCTTTCGGGCACAAACGCCCTTTGTCAGGCTGAGGAAGCATCTGCAGGTGTTCTGTGCTCTTCCAGGATGGAGTAGTAAAGTGGCCAGAGGCCAGTATGTGTGCAAGAAAGCCAGTCAGTTAAAATGTAAATTGAGTGGTCACTAGGTGAGATACTGTTGGAGTGGGGGAAAGGGGAATAAATGTAGCTGTAGTCAAAGGATGGGAGACAGGAGTGGGGGTGGGAAGGGAATGAAAATAGTTGATAAACAATGGAGGGTTTGCCTGGGGAGTCGGATGTTAGGCAAGTTTATAACGTGTCATAAATCCAGTGTCTATATTTGGTCAGTGCTTTTTTGTATCCGGTAGATTGAAGTGGAGTTCATAGGCTCACCTATGAAAGGTATTTTGTAAATTTCCTTTGAGGATTGGGGAGAGAGTGGTTTTCTGTGGGGGGCATATTTCTCACAAGAAATGTTATCTCATTGTGATATGTAAGGAAGGGGGCCCTATTCCCAAAACCTTGTCTGACAGCTCTTCCAACTATACATCTTATTCAGTAAAAGATAACCGAAAGAAAATCTTACCTCTTGACACTTTTTGGGCCATCACAGCTGCAGCACTCTGACCCTACTAAGTTATCTGTTGCAACTTCACCTTTCATATCGTGATTCAGTCCTAATAACCTTGGTCACTTCTTAGACCATATACATGATTATATTATATTAATACTGTGTGTGTGTACACATGCGTGTGCGCGCACAAACAAAATACAGTAAATCTGAACTCCTTTTTAGGGTACATTTGTAGATTTGATTTAAAATGCTATGCTAGATGAAACATTCTGGAGTTAAGATTTTATTTATTCATATAATTTGATTTATGCTGTGCTAATCCCTACCACTCTATTTCTGTATCTAGGATTTTTCTTAATCCATTATTTTTAAAATGTACCCTTTTTTATGGCGTATAAGTGGACACATTGTATAAGTTGACCCCATATTTCTGTTACAAAAATCCTAACTTTTTTTTGTCTGGTGTGTAAGTCAACTCTGCCTCAGTGTGTGAGGCTCTGGAAGTGCAGGTGGGCTCGTGGGGGAGGTGGTGTGCTGGTGGGCTCCTGGGAAGTTGGATCAGGCCCTGGCAACTCAGGCAGCATTTGGCCCACTAGCAGCCCACCCATCCAGTCCTGGGAGGGTGCTGCTACCATGGAGGGAAAGTCTGCCTCCCCCCTGCAGCTCGGGGGATGCCTGACCCATTAGCACCTCATCCCCCCTCCACCGCCCCCCAGCCACAAGGCAAGTGGGGAAGCTCCACTGAAAGCCAGATCAAGCCCCTTGCCGCTTGTGTCTTCAGCAGGCTCTTGTGGCCAGCAGGGCACAGGATACCTGGTGCTGCCCGGGAAGGGGCTGGCTTGCCCTAGGGGGCAGCATGAGGTGTTGGGCAGGGGTAGGAGGGGGCCCAGTCCTTGCCTCCATGGCAGCAGCACTCCTGGGGGCTGGTGGGTATACTGCCAGTGGGCCATGTGCTGCCAAAGCTCCCAGGGCCCAATCCAACTTCCTGGGGTCTCACCAGCATGCCACCTCTTCCATGAGCCCCCTGGGCTTCTAGTGCCTTGCACACCAAGGCGGGGGACGGTGTATAAGTTGAAGTTGAATTTTAAGAATTAAAAATTTGTCTTCAAAACTTGACTTGTATACTGTGAAATATGGTACCTTAAACATCCTCTTAAGCAAGGCTCATTTATAAATATGACAGGTGCAAAAGATGCCAATGAAAACAGGATTTATAGGATTTTCCTTGAAATAATTCAAGAGATGTCTTGGTTGAATGTCTTAATTTTCCTTTTTCACTTCTGTTTTCCTCTGACTCAAAGTTAGTGTCTATTCAGTCATGCCTGTGCTTTTTGTTGTTTTTTTTAAATTTTGTGTGTTTTGTTGTTATTTTGTACAGTATGTCTGGATTTGGAATGAACAGGAATCAGGCATTTGGAATGAGTAACTCCTTATCAAGTAACATTTTTAATGGAACAGGTAAGTATACTTTAAAAAAGTAAAGTATAAAGTACAATCTGGATAAGGCACAGTTGTTAAATATTTTGCTATCTGACCACATTTTTCGTTCTAATTTTGAAGTTTTGCATAGTGGCTTTGTTATACAGTGTTGTTCATGTGGCTTAAGAATACACACACAAACAAACTAAAACTGGCATTAATATATGGCAAGTAATTATCTTTTTCATGTAATAATTTAAAAATATTAAACTTACTTTGACAGTTTAAGGTTACTCAAAGACAATAGTTTTGAAACTATGCTGGTATGTCGTAACATTTTTTGCTGCTTCTAAGAAGAAAATAAAGCACTGAAAATAGTCTTTTTTTGAATGGATTTTCTTTCTTTTTTTAAGTTTTATTCACATACGCATAACCAGTCAGTTTCAAAGTCATAAATAGTTCATGGGGCCAGGAACTATTATTTTTTAAATAATGCTTTTTAAATTGGTAGTTCCCATTTTCTTAGGAATGCTAATCTCTTAATTTATATTAAGCAAAGATGCATACATTCTTTAGGGAAAGGCTTTGTGTTTTAAGTACATGTGTTTATTATGTACATCTCTTTTTTTGTACAGGGCGACTGGGCAGTAATTGTCTAATGGCATTTGGTGATGTCATAAAGCTCTGAAGTAATGGCCAATAGGGTAGTCTGTGTAGTCACTGGAGCCCTGTGATGGCATTATGGATCTCAAAACTGTTTATACATTTTTCATCTTGTACCTTGCCGTGAACTGGAATCCATTTCCTACATCAGCTTTTATTCTGTCACTTCCTCTGTAGTTCTTTAATTTCTGCCTTATTTAAAGCTTGAAGGGATAAGAGCTGTTCTTGATTACTATTACTTCTCTTTAAACCCTTCTTTTTCTAGCTATTATCAGAACTGACTCCTTTTTAATGTAATTTGTGTGTTTTATACACGTGATTCACGAGTTACCAGACTCTTGGAAAATGTAATGATTTGCTACTTTTAATATTATTCATTTAAAAAATACACCAAAGCCTAGTTTCATTATCTAGTGGTTATTGTTAAAATGTGTCTATAATTCTAATAGTAATGTGAAGAGAACCAAGTATGCTCTTTTTATTCTTTTTCTTTTTTTGTTTTTAAAAAATGTTGTGGGTTTTTATTTTCTCAGAACATCATGTGTAACTAACGCTGTGGCACTCAAGATGTTACTTTTATGGCTTCCAGTTTTATTGGAAATCTTAACAAAACCATTTTGTTAGAATTGCTCTAGTTTAGTCGTCACTGGGCACGTCTACATGTGCATTAATGCTTTGCGATTACTGCGCATTAAGTTTAGTACCTGTAATAACAGGTACTAACTAAATGCACAGTAACTTGGTGCTACTGTAGCACCAGCACATACTTTTTAAGTGATGCTAGTGTAAAGTAGGCTAATTCTACCATACATTAGCGCAATAGCACCACTTTTACCATGACACAAACCTGCAGTAGATTAATTCTGCTGAGCATTAATTGTCTCATGTAGATGTGCCCATTGACTCTGGAAAAGTTTCATTTCATATTACAATTTGTTAAGAATTCTTATGGGTAATGCCTCTTATTGGACCAGTTTTATGGTTCAGATAGACTTAGGTGTAGCTACCAGAGTATCCTGCCTATCCAAGCCATACAGTTGGTCCAGTCAAAGGTATCATAGACAAGAATTCTTGCCTCTTGTATATTTCCAGGTATATCATGGCAACACCACTACCTCCACACTACAAATGTTTTGGGCTAAAAATTCAAAGCTACTTAAAATGTTTGTTTTTTGTTTTTAGATGGAAGTGAAAATGTGACAGGACTGGACCTTTCAGATTTTCCAGCACTAGCAGACAGAAACAGAAGGGAAGGAAGTGGCAACCCAACTCCATTAATAAATCCTTTAGCTGGAAGGGCTCCCTACGGTAAGAATGTGTTTGCGAAAATTGTTTGAAGAAATAAATGTTTACTTGCTTAATTTGTCTAGTACTACTGACCTTATGAGACGATAGGTTATGTTTTGCCCAGTGACGGGCATTTATATCACAAGTCTCATTAACTTTCAGTAAAACAGACTTTTAAATGTGAAAGCAATAAAAATGGGATCAGGCTATGTCCATAGTAAATATATAGTCTTGGATATGCTGTGCTGCTTCAGCTAGGCTGCCTCCTAAACTACAGGCGTTGTTCATGTGCGATTTAGTTTGGGGACAAGATAACTGCCACTCACTGGGGAGTGCTAATTAAGTCTGCACAAATGTTGCATTGGGTTGTAATGCTTCTAGTCTAGCTGGCAGCCCAGAGGAGCACAGTGGCTTTGAGGGTGGTACCCTGAGAGCTGGTAAGTTTTATCATGCACATATCCATAAGTTGAGACCTGATTTTTCGGACTTCTGGTACATTTCTAAAACTAAGCTGTTTTTGTGGATTTTTTTAAAAAAAATCACTTTTGAATTTAAAACTGGTGCAGAAAACTGGTAGCTTTCAGCCTGAGTGCATATTTATTTTTTAACATCTTAAGTTTTATGTATATTGTCATGTGTTGCCTCTGATGCTTTTTTCAGTTGGAATTGTGACCAGTTTATTTCAGAAATACATTTTGACTGCTAAGATACTTATTTTTTTTAAAAAGTCTCTCTCAGCGAACAGTGACAACATTAGTATCAGAGAGATTACATTTTTGCTATATCCTTTGGTACTTATTGACTCTCTGCTCATAAAGACGATACTAGATATTTACTAACATTTGTTCGTCAAGAAGTGCTAATAACCAGGTATCAAGCTTGTGCAATAGATAATTTTTTGCCTATTCTACAAGGTTTATCTATAATTATGCAGTATCAAAACTAAGCTACCCTGATGACTTCCAAAAATCTTTTTGTTCCTTTAAAATATATTTCTGCATAGTTAATTACTTGAGTACTTTGGGAAGTTGGTTTTATATATGTTAATATCAAGCTCTACAATGGAGGGAGGCTATGTAGTTATCTTTTAGAATTCTTTAAGTTTCCAACTGAAAAGGCTTAATGACTTAGAAAAGAAGTGATGATGGATATTCTAGGAGAGAGCATATTTATTTCCATAAAGATGAGAGTTCATGTTATCAGAAGAAAATAACGTTATGGATTAGGCATAACTATCACTCCTTAGGTTTAAAAAACAGTTTTAAGTTTCTTTCTTACCAGGTGGTGAAACAATAGTAGCACCTACTGTCAAAACAGGCACATGTCATGGCCCAAAGAAAGGTGCGTGACGAGCTACATGTGGGTGGAGGACTTCTGCTGGCTACTGCATTTTTAATTAAGTTTGTGTGTGCCTGAAAAGCGATTAAAAAAAAAAAAAAAAAAAAAGGGAGGAAGGGAGAAAAAAAAAAACAAA